ACTCCGTAGATACAGGCCTCGACGAATTTCTAAGAGATGAATCGTCAGAGTTTAAAAGCTTCCTTTTCGATTTTTTTGAATTTTTTTCCGTCGCGACTGTCTCGCAGCCTAAGAAGTGTCTAAATAGATGTATATTCGGTTCGTTGATGGTGTTCAAGTCTGTGACCGTTGGTAGAGATCTGTCACGCCGGCGGATGGAAAGTTTTTTAACGGGGTCCATAGGGGAGCCATCTGGGAACTTTTTTTGAGAGGGCATTAATCCGTTTCCCATGTTAATTACTGGTGTTTAGTTTGGGTTGTTCGCCTATCTCAGAAAATTTGTGCCATCTAGGTTATAACTTTTCATGATTGAGTGTTGGATAGAGTCTGAAAATTAAAAAAAAAAATAAATTATTATTTATAAAAGTATATATTTTAAATAAGTAATAAATATGTATGTGCGTGTGTGTGTGTATGTTGTTTATATACAATGAAGAATTACATTATGAAAAGCACATTGGAGTCTAACATTATTATAGCGAAACAATTTCAGACTGCATACTTACGGTGGAATGATGTTCTGGAGATGGAGATGCTGAGTTCTTTGTTTCAACTTTCTAGATTTCAACCAAACTCATTTTTCGGAGCACAGAACAATTTCTTTAAAATAAGTATCTTGAAAACTTAAAAAATTTCAAACATTAAAAGTATTTTAAAAATTTCGAAAAAAATATTGAAAAAAGTTGCTAATAACTAAGTTAATATCTTTAAAAGACGATGTTAAACATTTATACATGCCTACAAATATGCAAACAATGTATTATATATATATATATAGAGAGAGAGAGAGAGAGAGAGAAAGAGCAAGAGAGAGGAGACGCATCCAGGAATTGTAGAAAATTTTTAACAGCAACAAGCATTGAGAAATATGGAGTTTTTCTATTTTAACTGAACAATTTATAGTAGTTCTGGGCTAAAGTATACTGTACATACATGCATACATAAATAGATACATACATACATACATTCATTCATACATACATCCATACATACATACAACGATTGCATGCCTAACCATGGCTTGTTCATCAAAACGGGTTCATACATACATCCATACACACACACATACAGACATTTGTTTATATATATATATATAAATTATACATACATTATATGTATAGATATATACTTATATATTTTTCCTCTTATGTGGTGTGCATCATACACTCGATTATATAAATATATAAACATACACACACTATTATATACAAACCACATATACAATATATATACTTTTATATATATTAATGCATACATACACACCAATATTTTTATAAAAAGCATGTGTTTTCATCTATAAAAACTGAAATAAGTCATCATTACATCATTACATTACATTATATTACATCATTACATTACTTCATTACATTACATTAAATTTTCATTACATTACATTACACGCACATGCAACATATGCCTGGTCATTTGAACGTGGTTATAATGATGCAATAAACTCAGACGCCTAATCAATCAGAGAATTAAAAAATCAATTAGACTAATTATCATTAACTAAGAACTAATTAATAATATCAATTAAATCTAAAAAAAATTAATTAATTAATTAATTAACTAATTAATTAATTAATTTCTTCTCGATTCACGCCAACACTTAAAAAAGTTTTTATGAATTTATTGATGATTCTAGTTGCGTAGGAACCATGTAAACACACTCTTCATATATATGTATATATACATATATACAAATATATATACTTAATTATATATACAATATATACTGTAGATATATATATATATATATATATATACAAATTTGTATATATATATATATACAAATTTAACGGCAAACGTTTGTCGATTTTGTTGCAGATAATTAGGTAAATCTGTTGTATCCATTACCATGGTTGGTATTTATTTATTTTTAGTGTTTTTATTACTACTATTGCTGCTACTACTCCTACCACTGATACTATTTTTACTACTACTACAACTGCTATTACTACTGCTGCTACTACTACTTCTGCTACTGCTACTACTTATATTACTACTACTACTACTACTCTAACTACTACTAATACTACTACTACTAATAATAACAACAACAATAATAATAATAAAACCTACAGACTTCCGAGGGAGAGGAGATATTGAAAAGGATTCAGAATTATAAAGGAGTCACCGGGCTGTTGATCGTCAACAAAGAAGGTTAATGATGATAAGTAATTATAATAATTATAATTATCATCGTCGTCGTCGTAATCATCATCAACCATTAAAATCAACATTTAGTAACTGAAGTAACTTAATTGAGATAAGTTGAAAAAAAACTTAAAAATAAGAGCAAATTCACAATTATTTTAAATCAGAATATAAATAATAAATTCAATTTATTCGCCGCTAGGCGTGCCCATAAGAACCACCCTGGACAACTCAACCTCCGTCCAGTATGCTGGTCACCTGAGGAGCCTGGCCGCCCAAGCACAGCACTGCGTTCGTGACATTGACCCACAAAATGACCTGACCTTCTTCAGAATTAGGTCAAAGAAGTACGAGGTCATGGTCGCACCAGGTGGGGGTTTATTTATAGTTTCAACAGAGTAATTTTATAGCGTTGCTTATAATTTTTTTCAATTTGTTGGGGTTGTTTTTACGTAATACTTATTTATTGTGACCAAGTATTATCTTATTGACAACATTTTTGCGTATCTATATAATTTTCATTATATCTTTGGCTAAAAATTACAAATTATTTTGCTCAATTAACTAATTAGTTAATTACCAAATTGGTTGATTATAATCAGAATTATTGATTAAATTAACTGAAAAACGTTTTCATGACAGATAGCGAATATCTCCTCGTAGTCATGCAAAATCCACTGAACTGAACACTGAAAAATTACATAGAGAAATCCACTAGATTCTTTTTTCTCTATCTCTCCCCCTTTTCTTTTTATTTCCATCTCTTACTTTCTCTCTTTCTTCTTTCCTTATCATTTTTTCTTTCTATCTGTCTCTCTCTCTTCATTCGTTCTTTTTTTGTGTTTATAAAGTATGAAATAATTTATTGAAAATACAAACAGACAGACCATGAGTAAACTGATATGGAACGTGCCTAAGTAGACATGGGTAAAAATTAATAATAATAATAATAATAATAATAATAATTCGCTGTTAATTCTAGTTAATTTCTAGTTTTATTTTGAAAGATTTTCATCAAACGCTTACTCGTTCAAATTTGTTTTTATTGGGTCCTTTAATGGCATGCTACAGTGATGACGATGACGACGATGATTTATATCATTACAACTTTTAAAACTTGATAGATAAAAAAAATTTATGGGCGCAAATCCTATTGAATTGAAACATAAAGTGGAAGGCAGACATCTTGTCGCTAAACCGTTATTATTGTTATTTATTATTATTATTATTAATATTATTATTGTTGTTGTTGTTGTTTAATATCATTTCATTATTATTATTCAATAATTTCTCATATATATATATATATATATATATATATATATATATATATGTATATATATATCCACACACGCACCCACACACAGACATTCACGCACGCACATACACACACGCACACAAACAGAGACATACACACATTCAGAAGAATACAAATATACAATAAGTAAACAGGCAGACAAAAATATAAAGCTGAAGTTGGGGTAAAAATAAAAATTCAGTCAAACAGAATCATTACTGCTACTATCAGCTGTTGATCCAACATGAACTTCAGGATTGGAACTTCTTGATTCTCGGTGTTTCTTTGGGACTTCTGGTTTTTGGATATTTTTTGGTTTCTGGGATTTTTTTGTCATTTTCTTGAGTATTTGCTGAATTTTCAGTGTTTGGTGTTAGGTCTTGTTTGTCCTCATTTATCAAAAGAATCGGTTTGGCTAGTTTGTCCAGTTTGCACCGAGCTAAGACTCTTCCTTTGTCGGATGTGTTTACATTTGTAGACCAGTAAAAAGATGATGGCCACCAGGAAGAATAGGAAGCACGCCCCAAACAGGACTACGTACTGTGGGGGAGAAATCAATTTAATACTTATTTATATTTAATTTTTATTTATTTTAATTTTTTTTTATGCTTTATACCTCTAAAAATTATTATAGATAGAATTGTTAACGTACACCCAATTGCTAATAATCTACTCTTTCTTTTAAATTTATCTATATTATGAACCATATAAGTTAGAAAATGGTTAAAAAGTGCCAAACTATATCACAGATTTTTTATCAAATTTTATTTTAAATTAGAAAATTAACATATCAAAGTATTTGTTGAAAATTTAAAAAAATATATTTTATTGTTAATTTTAAAAAAATAAAATTTCTGACCGCGAAGTACTTGCGACCTCTTGTCAGACGACGATTTTTCATGGTATAGTAGGTGAAGTTGATGAAGGTGAATGTATCGGGATTGGACTTGTTGCAGAAATTCATGTACCTGTGCCGTCGTTTGTTTTCAGATATAAATATTATTTATTTATTTAATTAATTATAATAAATATAATTAATTAATTATAATAATAAATAATTATTTAATTTATTATTTATTAATTTATTTATTTGTGTCTTAATAAATATTAAGACACAAATATTAATTGTGGTGTTTGATAATTTTATCCAATTGTTAATAATTTAGTATTATTGGCGTTTGTGGCTGTAAACTAACAACTAATATAATAATAATAATATTAAGAAACTGCTTACAAATAAAAAATATTTATTTTTATTAATTGACAATGTGAAAAAGTGAAAATATAAGTACACACGCGCGCACAAAACACACACACAAACAGACAGAAGCGCATTTTTTACGTAATATTATAAGTAGAGTTTAGGCACATAGTGAGGTTAGCTCCAATCAGCAACTCCTCCAGTAAATTTAACTCCACACCTTCCAAACTTAACTGCTCACACTCAAAGTCAACGTTACTAAAGGCGTTGATGACAATTGATTTGATCATTTTCTTGATGATCATTGTTATGTTCATGTTGCCCCTATCCAACTGCCTGATAATTATGTTGTGTCTCGGCTCTATGACTCTGTGGACGTAGGACATGAAGCAGTTGACGGCGATGGTCTGGTTGTGTAGGTGTATCATGTATTTGCAATCGTTAATTGTAAGCGAGCGATTGTCGGTGTACTTGCATGAAAATTTCACGAGGTCCACAGGCTTCTGTAATACTTTCGTTATATACGTACCGTACGCCCAACCCAGATGTCTGCAGAGCAGGTTGGTCGCTAAATCATTCCAACCTAAACAACCAAATGTCGTTTTTTGCATATTATTTAAAAATTTACAGAAAATTACATTTTCATTTGATTATTTTTTTTCATAATTAAACGTAACATATTTATAAAATTCTACCTTCGGCGCTGATAGGAATGAGTTTTCCATCGAGCATGTAGGAAGCGGCGTGATGCACGCCATCTTCTGTCTCCTTCATTGACTTCACTGACGACGGGTTCGCCTTTAGACAGCGCAGGTAGGCTGGTATGAAACTTTCGCCTGCAACAATTCGTTCCAAAAGTTTCAAAGAAATCAAATAAATATTTTAGCTTTTACGTTAAAGATGGGTTTTGTTCTTACAGCATTACCTCTGCACTCCTCACTGGGTTGCATTATATTATAGCAATTGTCAAAATTCCCATGCGATTTTTCGCAGTTGATGTATTTGTCGTCAGTTCTGTGGTTGTACTCCGAGAATCCCATCATGTTCCTGACCGTTGTTCCCTTCTCGTAATTCATGGCTCTACACGCGAGGTCAGCACTAACCGCGTCCCAATCGACCCCGCATACAGTCCGCCATATCTTGCGACCTGTTAAAAATTTGCACTGCTTTGTGAGACTGCAGTTTTCATTAAAATTTGCTAATCATGCTGTTATTGGGGAGTAGGCAACTTATATGCAACAAATATTAATAAATAGTCAGTTTATTTTTAATGAATACGACTTCAACCAATTGTGTGATTTGAAAAAAAAACTTCCTTCACTACCTTTCCTGTCCTTGCCACGAACTTCAAGAAAACCGTAATGAACAAGTTTGCGGTCATCATTGACCAGTCTGAATTTTGATGAGTTGTACATCGAGTTTGGCTGACCAGCTACACTATTCAAGGCCGCAGATGGATTCTCTCTCTTCTCCATGCTCACAGTTCTGCGGCCTGTTAAAAGTTTGCACTGCTTTGTGGGACTGCAGTTTTTTTTTAAATTTGACGGATTCTGTTTTTTCTCGAAGCTCACAGTTCTGACGTAAAATCGATTATTCGTGAAAGTGTAGTTGTAGTAGCGTCTGATGTCACGATTGTCGTCTAGTCTTGAAAAATTTTCCCTACTGTCAATTCGTACTTCTGCTTTATGCGTAACGTTGTTGTAACACAGGCTGATGTCTTTTTTTAATTGACGGAAAACATTCCCATTTCGAATGTGAGATTTCATGTGTTCGTCATTTTCATATATATCTTTGGTGTCAGAGTTTGGTAATGTTGGCTTTGAACGGCTCTCTACACGACTTTTATAACTTTCGGAGTGATTGTTGTTCGAATTTTTGTTAAATTTGTTCATTTTAAACTCACCTAACTTCCTTCCAATAAGTTCAATAAAGGTTAATCTCAGCGCTTGCGTGTAGAGGTTGATGGAGACAATTAACAAGGCCATTATTTTAATATTCAGTTTAAACATGTCAGTTATTTTGCGGTGAAGGTTTTGCACTCGTGTTTACGTTCACATTGTTTACAAACATCGTGTGACTACTGATGGCCAAGAAGAAATGAATGAATGAATGAATGAATGAATGAATAAATGAATGAATGAATGAATAGATAAATGAATGAATAGATGAACAAAATTAACGAATAACTAAATGAATAAGTGAATAATTTTAGGGCTAAAAACAGTTTTTAGGTATACGTAACGGTAATTCTTTCGGCAACTTTTTTAAAGCGTAATTAAAAAACACATTTTGTTATTTTTTTACCACCGTGTATAAAGTAAATTTACAAATGTTCGTGTTACAATTTCAAAATCACACACACTGCAGCAGTTAGTTAATTAACATTCAATGCAGAAAAGCCAAAAATTAAAATTAAAAATCAAAAAGAAGGTAGTTAATTCACACCTATCTTAATAGTCAAGTCACATAAATTTGTTCAAAGTCAGATTCAAAAGGGGACAGGGACTTGGGCCTTCCAAAAAGAAAAACTTTCCCTCAGAGCATAATTTTTTTATGCATTTTCGGCTAAAACAGTAGTTAAAGATACTTGTTTTAATAAAAAAAATAAATTGAATAATAATTTCTTTCTACAAAATAAATAGGGATCTCCATATTTTGTTGTTGTCCCGTATCTCTGCATCTTTAACTCCTGCTCTGGACATGTTGGTTATGCCGGCAATATCATCTGATTAGTTGGATACATCATCTGATTAGTTGGATACATCATCTGATTATTTGGATACATCTTCTGATTGGTTCGATATATCATCTGATTATTTGGATACATCATCTGATTAGTTGGACATTTCATATGATTAGTTGGACAGATCATCTGATTAGTTTGTATCAATGGATCTATTATCAAACAAGTTCCTGATTCTCCTTCTGAAAATTAGTGCAACACCGATAAAAATGACACCAATGGTCGAAACTAGAGTGAGTATAGATGCTACTACGTTTATCAACCTCGGTTTTTCGGTCTGTTAAATTGGGAAGTTCGTGGTGAAGATGAAGATGACGTTGATGAAGGTGATAGTGGTGCTGATGTTGTTGTTGATGATGAAGGTGATGATGTTGATGTTGATGATGATGATGATGGTACTGATGATGTTGTTGTTGATGATGATGATGTTGATGATGATGGGGATGACGATGGTGATGTTGTTGATGATGATGGCGATGATGGTGGTGGTTAAGAAAATGAAGTTAGTAAGATGTTACAAAAAATTTTTAATCAATTTAATTTTCATATTTACGGCTCGTTACAAAGACAAAATTTTCAGTTTGAGAATCTAAATATTTTGATATTTATTATTATTAGAAAGCTTATTGGAAGCGAAAGTTGACCTGTAAAACGGTAATAACGGTATTAAGAAACACACTGTGTCTACTTATAGGCCAAGTTTAGGCGCTTGCTATATTCTTCTTCATGCGTTTGAAGAAATCTGTAAAAACAAAAAACAAAAATAAAAAAAAGATCTACTTTTTTGAATTTCGAGTCCTCAACTGATGCTCTGGCACGACGACTGAAGTAGAGGGCGAATGCGAATTCAGTGAACGCCCGGGATTCGCTTTTACTGCAACTGCTCGTATAACTAAAAGAAAATTTATTAGAATAAAAAATAATATAAATCTAAAAATTATGAATATTGTAAATTATACGATTGTTTAAATGTTTAAAAAATTATTAAAAACACCGATCAATGTAGTTTTATTACGTGATAGTGAAGGAGATATTATTGGAGCTGTAGTTGACGGCCAAGAAAGGGGAATCCAAAAGATTCTCATCGTTTCCAGTCAGTGAGAACTGCTCACAGTCGAACTCAACATTACGGAAATCCATCATCTGGACAAAAGCAATTGGATATTTGGAAACGAGTGTGAAGTTGATGTTGGAGTTGGCGGACTGGTTGTAGCTGATCATTTCACCTTCCTTACTGAAATTGTGGTAGTAGCTAAGATAGCAGTGAATAGCCACAATCTTGTTGCTTACTGTTTCCGAGAACGTGCAGTGTTTCAATTCGCTTGTTGTGTTCCTCGGGCAGTTGACGACTGCCAGAGCTCTCTTCTTAGAAAGCAGCACAAATGTGTACGTGCCCTCCGTCTGGCCAATGTAGCGGCACAACAGCTTCGTGGTCCACAGCGTCCATTCTGAAAATTTCGTCTCAAATTTCATCGTGCAGTTGAATTCGTTACGTGTAAATTAAATTCATCTCATCGTACAGTTGGATTCGTTACATGCAGTTGGGTTCGTTACATATAATCAAATGCATTTCATGCAATTAAATTTGCAATTTATTTTTGTCAAAGGCATTTTCAGTCGAATAAATAAAGAATTTATTTATAATAAAAAGTTCAGTGGAGCGCTTTCTACACGCAGAGAATCTGCATTCGAATTGACAAAATTTGACAAATTGAAAAATGTTAAAACGCTTCGTAGGACGTTTGTAGTTTTACACATTTCAAAAAACTCTGCAAACTTTCAGCGGAGATTTCGACATGTTTTGAGTCCTTGTATAAGCTGTAGGACACAATGCTGTGGACGCCATCGACGTCTCTTTTCTTCCACATCACTTGCGCAGACGAACCTCTAACGCAATGTACATACGCTGGTATGAAACCCGATTCTGTATGCATGTTTCCGTGTGTGTTTGTGTGTTTGTGTGTGTGTGTGTGTGTGTAAGGAGCTGGATATTCAAAGATTGAAACATAAATTTGTCTATTTTGTCAAGATCACCACAAAGAACCGTCAAAAATAAAAAATAAATTCATTTTTACAAACACGCAATCTCAAAATCTTTAAATCAAAACTACGAATTGGAAAAAATGGCAGAAAAAACAACAATTTTAGATAAAAAAAGCAAGCATACTACCACATCTACTGTCGTCCGTCATTTTGTCGTAGCAGCTTTCGAAGGATTCATGTTGTCGGCTGCAAGTAATAATTTTCGTATCCACTCGCTCATGTACGAATCCAGTGAAACCCATCATGTTCCTCACGGTTGTTCCAGTTGCAAAACCGAGGTCTCGACATACCAGTTCCGAGTTTATATCGGTCCAATCGATACCACACACGCTCAGCCATTTCTTGGATCCTGTGGTCGTTATGATGATAATAATGATGATGGAAATGATGTTGATGGTAATGATGACGGTAGTAGTGCTGATGATGATGATAAGGAGAGGAGTGGTGGTAGCGATGATGAAGACATTGAGAAAATTATCGTCCTAAAATCCAACATAAACAATACAACACAAAAAGACAATACAATACAAACGGACAATAATCTATACAAATTATACAATACCCGATACAAATGATACAATACTCTATACAAACTATACGATACCCGATACAATTGATACAATACTTTATACAAACTATACAATACCCGATACAAATGATACAATACTCTATACAAACTATACAATACCCGATACAAATGATATAATACTCTATACAAACTATACAATACCCGATACAAATGATACAATACTCTATACAAACTATACAATACCCGATACAAATGATACAATACTCTATACAAATTATACAATACCCGATACAAATGATACAATACTCTATACAAACTATACAATACCCGATACAAATGATACAATACTCTATACAAACTATACAATACCCGTTACAAATGATACAATACTCTATACAAACTATATGATACCCGATACAAACGATACGATATCAAATACGAAATAAACAAACCATTATTTAGAGTCCTTGTAACTTCTAGGTAGCCGTAATATCGACCCTGTTCCTCCTCTGCGTTTATCAATCTTATCGAGATTGCTACTACCGCCTGGCTGACATCGTCGCGTCGATATCTGAAGCTGTGGTTGTCGCCAATGAAGTTGCCGTTGCTGCCGCTTTTGTAGTTACTGCTTCTGAAGCTGTTAATGATAGCGGCAATAATTTATTACAACTATTATTATTACAACTATTATTATTATTATTAATTTTTTAATATGACTTTAATATAAGCATACCTGTTTAAGTCGTGGATGATATTATCTTTGTTGTCGTTGTTTGTGTGATTATTATTATTATTATTATTATTGTAATTGTTGTGGTCGCTATTATGTTTTGTCTTAATGCCTTTGCAGTTGTAGTTGTTACTATTATTAATATTGTTGTCTTTGATGAGATTATACATGATATTATTGAAATTATGATTATTGTTGTTATTGTTATTGTTGTTATTGTTATTATTGTTAATATTGTTACTTTCAAACCGCAAAAATGTTTCGTTCATGAGATTTGCATTGAAATAACCGTTAATTCTAAAATGGTTATAATTATATCTACGATCAGGATTGTAATAATAATAATAATCATAATAGTTATTATTATTATTATTAATATTATTATTATTATTAATAGTTCGAATGTTTTTGTAGTTACAATTATTATGATTATTATTTTTATTATCGTTACTTTCACAATTTGAAAAGTTATAGCAACAATTTTCATCTTGACAAACGCAGTAGCTACATGTTCTTGAACGAACTCGATGATGACGACGATGAAGTTGCTGCTGCCGCTGCTGCTGATGACGATGATGAAAAATTCGATCGTGATTATGATCGCGAAAAAAACTTTCCAATTTGTAAAAAAAACAATGGCATGGCTGAATTGAGTTTATCGTATTCGTGTTGCAATTGTTGGGGTTGTTGTTGTAATAGCAATTACAACTATTGTTACTATTGTTATTATTATTATTAATGTTGTTGTTGCTGTTGTTGTTGTTGCTGTTATTGTTGTTGTCTTCGTGAAAACAACAACTCGAACACGAACTCGTCATCGCTACAATTGCTATGATTATGCTGAGGAAGAACTGTGACGATGTGCTGACGAACTTAAACATTTTATTCAGTAAAAAATAAATTTAAATCAAATTAAATTAAAGCCAAATTAAATTAAAAGTTAGTTTAGCGTCGGTGATGATTTTGAAGATTATTAAAGAGATTTTTGAAATTTTTATGATTTGATTTTTTCCAATAGCTATTCAATCGTTTATCTCCCTTTAGTTTCTTCATTCATTTATACCTCTTCTCTCTCACTTTCTCTCTCTCCTCTCTCTCTTCATCTCTACTCTTTCTAAATGGTTATCCTTTTGATTAATTAATTTGAATTATACCCTAAACGATTTGATTGTTGTTATTATTTTTGTTATGAGCGTTGACGTAGTTTAACGCAGAAGACATAAAACCGTAAGTTGGTAAATATTAGTAAAAATTTTTCGGGTCCAAATTATCATAAAATCAACTATAATTTTAATCATCATCGTCGAATCTACTTCTTTATCATCATCGCCGTCGTCGTCATCATCATCATCATCACCAGTGTGTCGTCGTCGTCATCATCATCATCATTATCATCATCATCACCATCATCATCATCATCATCATCATCATCATCGTCCTTATCTCGTCGTCATCGTCATCAGTATCATCATCACCATCATCATCATTATTATTCCTTGTTCTCATTGTCAACAACATTCGCTTTGTCATCAAACTCATCCACGGAGTCACGATTTAAAATATTTTTTGGTGGCCTGGTATCATTTATATTTTTCTGTTTCAGCTTCCTTCTCAGCTTGAGGACACATTTGAGGCTGCAGATGGTGGTGCAACAGAAGATGATAGTTAAGAGTAAGAGAATGGCTATAATTACCAGAAGCGTCTTGAGGTAGTACTGTTGGATTGATTGGTTGGTTTGGAAGATGGCTGGTTGGTTTGGAAGATGGCTGGTTGGTTTGTAAGAATGATTGGTTAATTGGTTGTGATGATGATTGGTCGGTTGGTTGTAAAGATGATTGGTCGTTTGGCTGGTTATGAAAATGATTGGTTGGTTAGTTTGCTGTTAGGTTAGTTGTTTGCTTGTTTATTTGTAAGAATGATTGGTTAGTTGGTTGTGATGATGATTGGTCGGTTGGTTGTAAAGATGATTGGTCGTTTGGTTGGTTATGAAAATGATTGGTTGGTTAGTTTGCTGATAGGTTAGTTGATTGGTTGTGTGGTTGGCTGATCGACTGACTGGCTGGTTGGCTGTTCGTTGATTGGTTGATTAAAGTTTATTATTTTTTTAGTAGTTTGTCTCTGAATGAGTAAAACTATTTTTATGCATTATCATTTTAATCACCATATATGAAACATTATCACATTGAATAACCAGCATTCATCAGATATCTACTCTCAAACTCACCAAACTTAAGCCTTTAAAAGAATCAGCGACCGCTTTAACATCACTTATATTAGCATCATCATGATCGTCACCACCACCACCGTCGTCGTCGTCAGACGCGTAGTTGTGGTAAGTGAAGTTGATTATGGAAAAGTTGCTGGGGCGTTTATTTTGGCATGCATTTGTGTATCTGCGGCAATTTTTCATTAAATAAAATTTTAATAACGTTTTTTTCATATCACGTTATTTGAAGATATCACAAGTAACAACTACGGTACATATATCTATCTACGAACAAGTGTGATACACAGCTCATGTGTGTTAGGTAGAGCTTCGTTTGCATTCGAACCCGGTAACTTCAACACTAAGCGTTTTTATCACTGCGCTATATTACGGCCAGAGTTTTAGTTTTTGAAAATGAGAGTAATGAGATGTGAAAAATGTATGTCTTTGTTTGAAACCAATATTCTAACAACTATTATTCGTAACATGATGGTCATAATGATTCGAACATCACCATGCTTACCTCAATACATGAGAATTGTTAGTACCGACCGAGATGTTAATCCCCAAAAACTCGACGTACAAAATGTTTACATACCGATTCGGTACACTTCCTACGATTGCCATTCTTTCGCAATCCGAATTTATATTGTCCATTCTGTTCAACAAAATTCTCGATATCGGTTTTCTAAACATCATGGTGATGTTCATAAAATCGGTATTCGTCTGTTGAATGAGTACGTCCCTACCGGCGTGGTCAACTTGGTGCTTGTAATCGTTGTAGCATGAAATAGCCACGAATGAATCGGTATACCGATACGAAACTTTACATCTGAATAAATCTTTCGGTACTCGGCCGAGTTTGAATATAAAATCGCAACTGAATTCAGCCATAAGTTCAGTTCCGATTTTCAATTTGTAGACCTTGAAGACACCGAGTAAATGATGGTTCTGTCGGCAGAGCACGTCGCTTTTTGTTGCATCCCAATCTTCGTCATAATTGTTAATGAAAATTTTATTAAAATGTATATTATATGTAAATTATTTTTATTCATAATTTAAATAATGTTACTTATTACGACATTAATTATGTTATTAATTGCACCATTCAGATTAGTTATACTACTAAAGTTACCTGGTTACATAATACCAACGTGACGATGAATAGAGAAGTATGCTCAATAACATTAAAACACTTTTATCACGAAGACGATGTTGAACATTATTCACCTTATCTCGGTCAAACGAACGAACAAATAAACAATCCAACTAATGAACGAACGAACAACAAACCATTAGCACTAATCTTCATCGTTGCATTGTTAACCATGGAATCATTCAACTGCGCGTAGGCGATTTTAAAAATGACGTCACGATCGTAGTCATTCTGGGAACCGCCTGACCAATTGAAATCGGGGTGGTTGTCATCTATGACGTCTCCCAATCGTAACCATCCCCTTCCGAAGTTGACAGGAAAACAATGTAGGTACACTGGCTGAAGTGTTTTCTCTAGGTTATGAGTAAGTATTTTTATTTCTTTTAAATTTTTATTCTTGCCATTTTAGTTCATTTTAGATATAATGATATATATCTATATATCGTTTTGTATGAGTATTTATGTTATTTCATAGTAGTAGTAGTTGTTGTAGTAGTAGCAGTAGTAATAGTAGTAGTATTAGTAGTAAAAGTAGTAGTAGTAGTAGTAGTAGTAGTAATGGTGTGCTAGATAAAGTTTTTGGTCCTTTCCTTCCATTGCACGCACGTGTACGTAGTTGCTACTTTTGTAAATAATAATTATTGAAATAAATAATAATTATTATTAAAATTAGTAAAATAAATAATAATTATTATTTTTTTTATTATTTAATTATTATTTTTAGTTAACATTATTACTTTTTAGTACTTTTGCTGAAAACAACTTTTTTAGTAAAGATAAATACCATTGTAGTTTTTGTTCGGTAACATTCTTGTATAGCAATCTTCGAATGATTTATCAGTAGGCTCGCAGACGATCGAGACATCGTCGGTATATTTGTTTCGATATCCGGTAAACCGGATCATGTTACCGACTATCATACCGCCATTGAAGCCGAGACTCTGACAGGCGAGTTTCGTGTTTACGTCGGTCCAGTTTATACCGCAAATGCTGTACCATTCTATGGTCAGTTGGGTCAAGTTGATGTTGGTCGGATATAAAATTTAATAATAATAATAATAATAATCATCATCATTATTATCATCATAATCGTTTCAAAAGAGGTTTAAAAATAAGTAACGAACCCTTTTTATAAGCTTTGAAAATTTCCAAATAGCCATATGATTTCAAATTTTTACTATCTGAATTAACGAGTCGAAGCATTATTGGTTTTTCTAAGCTGTCTGTATCTCTTCTAACGTTGTTGTTAATGTTGTTGTTGATGATGTTGTTGATGTTGCTGATGTTGTTGTTGTTGTTGTTGCTGCTGCTGCTGATATTGATGTCGTTGTTATTTACGTCGTTGTTGACGTCATTGTTGACGTTATGTTTGTTGTTGTTGTAGCTTTTAACATAGACTTCATTTTGACCACAGCTTTTATTCCCAATGTAATTGAGGTAATTATCGCTGCTAATGCTATTGCTAACATTCATAGTGGCCAAATTAGTTTCATTATTGTTATTTTCATTAGCCGGGAGGTTATTTTTACATGTTACTGATTGAACTGCATAAGCCATCAGATGAAGAATCAGTGTCATGGCCAATGGAAGGTTCAAGGTCATGTCAAAGTTAAATAATAATAATAAAATGTAATTTTACTAATTATTTGTATGATTAGTTTGTTAAAGTTCAACAAAATATTTTACAATGATGACGAAATATTAAATTAAAATTTTTAGTATTGTTTAAAATGTGTACTAATTTATGTAAGTAATTTAGTATCTAAAGTTATTTGTTTGTATACGGAGATGTTACTATGAAAAACAAACATTGCTTATTTATTTGGTTTTTTGTTATTATTGATGTTTGTACACGTAAGATAAATAAATGTTTAATTTATTTTATGTCTTTGTCTAACTGAATATTATACGTTACGTATATTTAAACATATTTTTAAAAATTTTTAAAAATTAAAATGAAATAACTGTGAAATTGAATAAATAAAAATTCATTTGTTGAATAAGTATAGAATGATTAAAATATGGGAAAATATTCTCCTCGATACGTCATATCACCGCATACATACATCAGATTCGTAACCATTTCATCATAGCTATCGCATTTTTCTAACACAAATATTGAATACCACACAATCATACGAACACACACACAAAAAAACAAACAAACACACACACAAACAAACACACAGACAAACACACAGACAAACACACAGACACACACATACACACCAAATCAGTTTTATTCTCCTTTGTTTGAAACATTCGTAAGAGAGTTGTTAGACTTATCCAAGACGCTTGGACTCGGAAGTTTTTTAGCAGCGATAAAGTTTTTCAGCTCGTCTTTCCAACGAGATTTATTCTTCTGTCTTGCATTTTTCGTCTTCACTAGAGGCTGGTAAACGTAGTTGGCATATATATTCCGTGAAACTTGTCTTGCATCTACTGTTACCGTACTACCAGTAGATACTTTACTTTCTTGTTGTTTTTTATTCTTACTAAATCTATTACGTTCGGTTTTTGAATAAGTTGTTGATGTTTTCATCTGTGGTGGCTGGCTTCCGTTGGTGGCTGGAATTTTTTTGGATGCGGCTTTAAAGACTGCGAAGATGATGAAGAGTAGGGTGGTCGCCAGGGGCACGAAGGACCATTTTATTTTCTGGGGATGTTTGGTTGGGAAGGATGTTGTTAGGTTTGGGTTTAGTTTTTCATGTGTTTAATTTCATTTTTTAAAATTTGGTAATTGGATCATTTGTCGTAAATTTCATTGCTGTAATTATATTTTCCGTCATCATCATCATCATCATTATCATCATCATCATGATAAATCATGATCATGATCATCATGATCATGATCATGATCATCATTATCATCATCAGCAGCGGCAGCATCTTCACAAGCATCATCACCATGACTACCGATGTTACTGATAAATGGTGACTTAGGTAGGCCCTGAATTCAATGCTGGAGAATATGAAAACATCCATTGCTGGGCACATGTTCGTATACCTTGCACAAATAAGCAATTTATATCATTTATGTGTTACATACATTTGTCATGTTAGCTCATGTGGTAAGAGTGCCACGTTTGGAAATTGTTGTTGCCAGTTGACTTGGTTCGAATCCAGTCTGTCCGGAGCTGTTATAAGGCTTGCCAGGTGCGTGTGCGTCTTGCTTGCGCGTAAAACAAAAAGAGGCGTAAGTGCGCTGCGTGGCGCTTCTATTATAAATGCAGTCGTAACTGTTAGATCTCTTGTGAAACATCATTATTGCGAGTTATTTGAAAATTTGAATTTGAAATTTCACCGTCAGGATCAGAAGCACCAACCAACCTCAACGTGTATGAGGTGTCATCTTTCAGGGCGAAGACCATTGCTGCAAAGAGAGGTTCCGTGAAGTCCAGTGTCAACTCGCTGTCCGCACCGTCCACTATTATTAATTCTTCGCAGTCGTAATTGACGTTGGTCAAGTTTTTAACGTGGATCGATTTGATTGGTCTATGGTAGCGTAAGGTTATATTTATGACGTCAGCATTACGGCGATTGATGGCGATGAGTTTGTTGTCGTCGCTGATCAGCAGCACAAAAGATCGGTAGCAGTGCGTGGTCACGTAGTGATTGTCCAAGACCAAATATCGCCAGCACCTTCTGAATGTCAGCTCGGATTTTAAACCTGACCTGCTTTCGTCCAATCCGTAATCGTCATTGGAGTAATACCGGGCAGAGGAGGTTTCGTAAAAATCGTTGTCGTCATCTTCAGTGCACGAGTATTTCACCATTGTTTCTTTCCTGTTCTTTACCTTAAAGAGTGGCTGGCCGTGAGTGTATTTGCGAAGTCTGCACAGTATGTCAGTCTTTTGCTGGGTCCAATCTGTGTGCGTGTGTGTGTGTACGTGTGTGTTTGTATTTATGGATGTGTGCGTATGTGAACGAGAAAAATATTAGCGAATACCTCCGGCGCTTATTTTGAAGTATGATTTCGTGTCAATACCGTCGTAAACAACTTTGTGCAGGCCGTCGGTTGTTTTGTTCCTATCCGAGAAGAAGATGTTGCCCGCCGAATGGAAGCACATGAGAAACACCGGGATGAACGTTTCTTCTTTTTGCGGTGGTGAGGAAATTTGTTTGACGTTTTAGGATTTTTTTGTTTGACTAAATTTTTTGTTTTGTTATTTTTTTCACATTTTGTTTGTTTATTTAAAATTTCGTAGAACCAATTAAGCGTGATAAAATTTATCATTTTTGCAAGAGGGAATGCATGAAACCATTTAAAACGAAAATGAAAATACAAAAAAAAACTTCATACTTATGAAATCGAAAAAAAAATCAAATTGAAAAAACCTTTGCATTCGCTAGAGTTTTTCATTTCCTCATAGCAAACCTCGAAAGTTTCGTGCTCAAGAGTACAATTGAGCAGCCTCATGTCTCTACGATCATCTTTGTAGACGGAGATGCCCAACATACTCTCTACTAACTCACCCCTCTCAAAGTTGAGAGCCCTACAGGCCAGCTCTGAGTTAAGGGCTGTCCAGTTCTGCCCGCACATGCTGTGCCAATTCTTTTGACCTTGACATTCATCAAACATTCAGTGGCTAATTAGTCTTTTTTAGTATTTTTAATCAATTTAGTCTGTGTGATAGAAAAATTTTATTATTTATTATTGTTTTTTTTTTTTTTTTTTCTAACTTACCGAATTCATCGTCTCTAAGAATTTTGAAAAATCCGTAATTCTTAAGGTACCTATCACCATTCACAAGTCGTACTATGTCAGACTTATAGATTGGATGCTTCCCACCGAATTTGTTTCTACCAGAATCATGATCGGCGTTTCTCTTGCGTATTGTATGATTGCTGTGGTAGTGGTAGTAGTGGTAGCCATTGCTGCTGCTGACGTTTTTGTGGCTGTGGTTGTAGAAATTAAACTCATTTTTATGCCTATGGAAGTAGGTATAGATGTAGTTATTAGCGTTATGAGTTGTGTCAATGTTATTGTTGTATTTAATGTTATAACTTTTATTTATATTATTGTTGTCAAATAAGATGAATGATGTGATATTAATGAGACTGAAAAACGATAGTACAGTAATTAGGATGAAGAACATTATGCTTGTGTGCTTGTTTGTTTGTGTGCTTGTTTGTGTGCTTGTTTGTGTGCTTGTTTGTTTGTTTGTGTGCTTGTTTGTGTGTGTATTTGTTTGTGTGTGTGTTTGTATGTGTGTACGTTTGTATGTGTGAGTGTGTTTGTACGTGTGTGTGCTTGTATGTGTGTATGTGTATGTGTGTTTGAGTCTGTATGTATGTGTTATGGCTGTAAACGCTAATTGTTTATGAAATTGTTATTGTTGTGCTTTTCGTCAAGATATTAGTTATTTCTTTGGCGCTTAATTTAAAATAATAAAAGTATGGTGGTTATTTGAAAGTAAATTTGTATTCATAAAAGCGATATCATCATCATCATCACCACCACCATCATCATCACCACCACCACCATTATTATCATCATCCTCATCACCACCACCACCATAATCATCACAATCATCATCCTTCTCATAATCATCATCATCATTGTTGAATATTACCAGCACTGCTCAGTTTCTAGATGATGATACCGATGATGATCTTACTGACGATGATGATGACGACGACGACGAAGACGACGATGACGAGGCAGCGTTTTGATTGAGCAGTTCGGCAAATTTCATCATCTCTAATATTCTCTTGTAACCGGATTAGACCACATCGATAGATAAGACGACGACGGTGGTTAGGAAAGTGGCCACAGCGGCTGTTATTATTGTAGCTGTCGTCTGGGTAATGATAATGATGATGATGATGATGATGATGATGATGATGATGATGATGAATGTAATGATGATGATAATAATGATGATGATGATGGTGGCAGTGATGAAGCTATGAAGGTGGTGTAAATAAGGGACAGATGGTGATGGCTATGGGGCGATGATAATTTGAAAATAACCACACCAACAACAACAATAATAGCAAAAACAACAACAACAACAGCAACAACAACAGCAGCAGCAACAGTAACAACAACAACATCAAAGTAAAGACAAACCCACTGTTTCTACGCTATTAAGTTTAATTAAGGAGATTTCTTGAGCGTAGTAGAAAGTGAAGTTAACGTAAGAAAAAAAATTCCTATCCGTTTTCTTCCATGCGTTTGTATGTGTGTATGTATGTATGTACGTACGTACGTACGTACGTACATACATACATACATACATACATACATACATACTCATACATACATACATACATACATACATACGTACGTACGTACGTACGTATGTATGTATGTATGTATGTATGTATGTATGTATGTATGTATGTATGTATGTATGTATGTATGTATGTATGTATGAGTATGTGTTTTTGTTTGTTTTAGGAAAGAAATATTTGTTCGGATTTGTTTGCAAAGTCACACAGACTCTTTTCCCCCTCATTTAAATGTTGCCTTGCAAAGCAACTGTAATGCATCACAATCAGATAGAAAATGATTAATGGATGGAGGGATGGTGAAAGGATTGATGGATAGAGGAAGGATGAATGACTGAATGAATGAATGAATGACTAGGCGGGTGAAAAGAATGAAAGAATGATTGAATGAATGAATAATAAATACACACGTTAGCTTATCGCTCCTAGCAGTTACATAAATCAACAAAAGTTAAACACATACACATGCATACATGCAAGTTGAATTAAAAACAATACGTCTTACATACAAATTGACCTATATACAATACGACTTACATACAAATTGACCTATATCCAAAAGTATTTATGTATAGATACGAAAATTGTATACAGAAAAAAAAAACAAATGTTAACACGATAAATATTTAAACACACATAAACGCGCGCTTAAAAATACACAAACAAAAATGTTAAAATTTATACACACATAGCAACACACACACAAACAAACACACACGATGATGATGATGATGATAATGATAACGATTGGATTGATGATGATTATGATAATGTACGTTTTTATGATGATAATGATATTAGTAAGAATGATGATTGCAATATGGTTAATGACGATGGGTAAATAAATAGAAAGCCATCTATCTAATCCGTAATTTTGACGACCCCAAAAGAGTTTCATCATCATCGTCACCGTCATCATCGTCTTCATCATCATCGTCATCATCATCGTCTTCATCATCGTCTTCATCATCGTCATCATCATCGTCGTCAGCAACGTTTTGTAGCTTGTTGTATTATTACAAACTCATCCTCATAAAT